CAACTTAAGTGTCCATTGATAGAGGAATGGATAAAGAAGTGGTGGTAAGTATATACAATGGAATATTACTTGATCATAAAAAATAATGAAACCTTACCATTTGCAACAGCATGGATGGACCTAGAGGATATTATGTTAAGTGAAAGAACTCAGACAGAGAAAGACAACTACCATATGATTTCAGTTATATGTGGAATCTAAAAAAAAAAACAAAATAAACAAACAAAACAGAAACAGAATCATAGATACAGAGAACAAACTGATGGTTGCCAGATGGGAAGGAGGTTAGGGGGCTGGAGAAAAGATAAAGGCATTTAGAAGTAGTAATTGGGAATTACAGAATAGTCACAGGGATGTCAAGTATACCATAGGGAATGTAGACAATAATATTCTAATAACTCTGTATGGCACCAAAAGGATATTAGACTTATCAGGGGATCACTTTGTAAATTATATAAATTTCCCGCCATGTTGTACACCTGAAACTAATATAAAATGAAATGTCAACTGTAATTGTGTACCAGACAACCAAGGGGTCCAGGTTGCCTGTCACTATTTTAGCCAATTAAACAGAGACAGGGTTGAATCATATATTCCAATACTGCTGGCAGTATGGGGAGCAGCAGGTCATCCACAAAAATCTGCTCTACTGCCACCATAATCCAGATGCTTATATTGGGTAAAAGGACAAAGATTATGTGGGAAAGTAGGAATTAGAGGTATGGGAAAGTGGGCATGGGATAATCATTACAGGTTACAAGTCATGTGGGCTGGGAGGAGGGGTCACAGAAGGCGGGTGCCTCGGGGTGCCCCAGGACCAGATTACAGGAAATGGGGGCTGGGGTTGTAAAGAGCATGTGTCTCCTGGATTAGATTGTTTTGCCCACGAAGTTGTAAATCTTTCCATAATGACAGGCAGTTCTAGGGAAAGGAGGATGGGCTGCATTGCAATGTTAGCTCCCATGTCCCAAGGCGTACAACTCCCAGCGAGGTTAGAATGTGCTTTCTCTAATCAGAACAGAACCATCATGGTTAACAGAGCATGACTAATATTTCTTATAATTAGAATTAGTTTCCAGTATTCTATTTCTGTTCCTAACAATTGGAAAAAAGTAAAATAATAGAAAGAATAAAAATAATTTATATAAACTTATTAACCCTGTCTGATATATATAATAGGCCTGGTGCACAAAATTCGTGCATGGGGGAGTTCCCTCAGCCCAGCCTGTACCCTCTCCAATTGGGGACCCCTTGGGGGATGTCTAATCCTGTGGGATAGGGCCTAAAACTGGCAGTCGGACATCCCTCTCGCAATCTGGGACTGCTGGCTCCTAACCACTCACCTGCCTGCCTGCCTGATCGACCCTAACCATTCTGCCTGCCTGCCTGCCTGATCGCCCCTAACTTCTCTGCCTGACTGCCTGATCACCCCTAACTGCTCCCCTGCTGGCCTGATTGCCCCAACTGCTCTCCCCTGCCGGCCTGATCGCCCCTAACTGCCCTCTCCTGCTGGCCTGGTCATCCCTCACTGCCCCCCCTGCCGGCCTGGTCATCCACAGACCCTTCCCTCTGCCATGCCCCAGCAGCCCGGGGCTCACAGCCCCGGTCATGGTCCGGTCATTTTGGTTGTGACAGACCCTAGCTCTTTATATATTAGGATATGAAATATTTTTTCAGATTTGCTTATTACCTTTTAGATTTCTGTTTATTTTGCTTTTTTGTTTTGGTTTTTACAGTTTTTCTTCAATTTTTTTCACATTACTCACATACATATTGGTATCTGTCCATATATTGTTTTAATTCTCTGAATTGTCCATTCCTGGTTTTAATTGCTATAATTATATACCTAGTAAGGCAAGCTCTCCTCATACTTTCTTTTTTGGAATGTTTCTATTTATTTTTGCATATTTATTCTTATTGGTGAAATTTAGAATCATTTTATCAAATCCCAAATGTCGGGATTGTGTTAAATTTATGGATACATTTGGGGAGAACTAACATGTCTATAATATTAAATATGAGCCAAGTCTGTTATGTTTCTCAGTTGAGTTATATAATTTTCTGCAAATATATCCATGTTTTGTGTTATTTTTAAAAATATATTTTATTGATTTTTTACAGAGAGGAAGGGAGAGGGATAGAGAGTTAGAAACATCGATGAGAGAGAAACATTGATCAGCTGCCTCCTACACACCTCCTACTGGTGATGTGCCTGCAACCCCGGTACATGCCATTGACTAGAATCGAACCTGGGACCTTTCAGTCTGCAGGCCGACGCTCTATCTACTGAGCCAAACCGGTTAGGGCAATGTTTTGTGTTATTAATGCCAATAGAAATTTTTAGTTTTTCTTAACAGTATGACATTAATTCAACATGTTTGTTGAATTAGTAAGTGAATAATAGAATAAACTTTTAAAATCCAAGAAAACTTTTATTTAATTACAGACTAAAGGAGAAATGTGTCCTACTACTTAAAAGATTTTGGTTTAATTATACTGACACACACACACAAACATAGTCGACTTGATTTGCTAGAGGTCATTATCTGAAATGGAACCAAGCATTCAGAATTCAAAGTCAGGCTTAGCCTTATCCATGTGTAACAAACCCTGGGACATTACATATACTTGGGGGAAAGTTTCCACTATTGCTTCACAAATGCCTAGAGTTCTACCATTAATTTCACTGCTTTAGATTAAGGGATTCCTTTTTCTTAAAATGCAAACACCTCTCAGAAAGGTAGTAGAATACTATAAATTAAGCCATTATAGTCTTTTATATGTTAGTATGATTTAATGATCACTTTCTTGACAACATGTACTGGTAGCTAATTAGGAAGATTTTTTTCATAACAGGAAGAGAATAAAAAGAGCAGAGAACCAGGAGTACCAGGATACTGTATATATGGGGTGTTTAAAGGTAAGAGGGGAAAAAGTCAGGAGAAGGAAGCTAAAATTTATAAATTTCTTTGGGCAGGAAGTGCATCTTGTTCATCTTTAAACATAATGTTTAGCATATCACAGCCACTTGTATAGGTGTGTATGAAACAGATAAACTCTGCTTGCCTCATAGCTTTGCCTGTGGGTTGTTCTGCCCAGAGCTGCCGTCTCAGGGCTATTCTGGGGTGACCTCTACTCTACTATTCTGGCTCCCTTTCCTCAGAATTACTCAGGGAGGAACCTCAACGTTAACAGATGTCAGTTGACTAGTATAACAAACAATTGCTAACTGCTAACATATTTTGCATTAAGGTAAAACAGTAAGTTGTCTATTTATACAAATTTAAATGTTTCCTTATAGAATGAGAAGACAGTATTATCTTCAGATGCTTGACCGGGTCAGTGATTAGCTCTCCCTCTCACTCCTCATGGGTCTAATCATTTCACAATTGATCCCCTGAGGAAGTATTGGGAAACTGGAGATGAGGGATAAACAGTGGATTTTTCCTCACTGTTTAGTTTTTTCCACTGTTAGTATTTATGAATTTATTGCATAATGCAGCAAAATGATGACTCCTGTTAGATCTGGGAAAAAGTGAAAGAAAGCTAATAGAGTTGAAAAGAATTTTCTGCTAGCAGAGTAAAGGGTGTCTGGTAAAGAGACAATAAATTATATCATATGGTATCATCTGATAGTCAAATTGAGTAGTTTTTAAAAATTAATAACAGTTTTCTTTCCAGTGATAAAAATATATAAATATTGGGTCAAGATACTAAAGTTTTTTTTGAATTCTCAATTATAGACATCAAATGTTGCCATGACTATCTACTGTGACATCTACAAAGTTTGGACCTTATTTATCCTAGTTTCCAGTCATTTAATTTATCAAAGGTTTTTTATTCTCATTTTCAAAAGGCTAATGAATCTGTCACCAGTCCAAGATGATTTTTTTCCCCTTTATTCTCCTTTGAATTAATACAATGGGTAAAATGATTTGAGGTAACTATTAAAAATAATTTATTTCAAAAATATTACTCTGAAATTAAACCTGTGCTGTTTTTCTGTTTTAATTTGTCAAGATTATAGGCATATTCTTCACTTAATTCTGCACTCTAGTCTTTTGTGGCTTATTTAGGATATTTGCATCTAATCCAAGTCATGGCATTGGATATCAAGCAATCTAAGGCTCTCTTACATGTTAAAGACACAAGTTATAAATAATCACATTCTCAAAGAATCTAGAAATAAAGACTCCTCTTTTAATCCATTTTATGTGCCACCGTGTGTAGTTATAAATATACCAAATATAAATGTGGTATTAACTAGGTGTATGTGTTAAACATAAATCCAGTTTCTATTGTACAAAATTATAAGTTACAGTTAATAATGACTGGTGTTTCTAAGTTCATACTGTTTGTATAAGAATGAGCAAAAGTATCAACACTTGTGATTTTTTCACTTAATTTTGTAAAGCTTCTTAAGTTGAGGCCTGGCTGCTGTGGCTCAGTTGGTTGAGTGTTACCCCTGGCACCTAAAAGTCACCAGTTTGATTCCGTGTCCGGGCACATACCTAGACTGTGGGCTCGATCCCTGCTCTCCCTGATTGGGGTATGTGCGGGAGGCAGTGGTCGATGATGTTTCTCTCTCTCTCTCCCTCTCCCTTCTTTTCTCTCTGAAAAAAAAAAATCAATAAAAACATACATACTTTTTAAAAAGCTTCTTAAGTTGATATACACACACAATTATGCTTTTTGGAGAAGAAAAAAAAGCATGTTTTTTTAGACTAATAAATTCTCACTTTTAGCAGTGTCTTGTTATGGTGGCCAAGAAATAAAGTTGTTAGAAACAAAGGTGTGAAAAAATCAAGCCTGTCCCCCCCAAACCTTATTCTAAACCCCCCAATACTAATCAGAATTGATTTAGAGTCCATCTTAGGTAATAAGCAAAAGGCTACATCATCAAGTCATTCTCTCCAAACTGCTTGGCAGACTCACAATAAAGCAAGTTATTTATGTATTCAAAGGAAGAGGCTTGTCCTTGTCATCAGTGTGGTTATGGCATGATCGACGTCCAGGAGCTGGATGACCTTGGGCCAAAACCGATCCGAAAAAGGCTGAAAGACAGAGACCAAGGAAAGAGGGAAAGCACGTGGAGACTGCTAAGCGATAAGGAGCTGCGTAAACCAACCAGCTGACTGTCAGAGAATGGCTGGACATGGCCTGACACACATTGCTAGGTCAGTTCCTGGTTCCCACTTGTACAGGCCTGGAGGATCTATTTGGCCACAGATTAGGCAAAAGGTCCTAGACAAAATTAGGAAATTCGCAAGTTTGTTTCACTACTTTGTGCCTGGGGAAAGACATCAAGTGTTCTCAACTGGAATAAAGGAACTGACTAGTTGTACTGGTAATCCTCAAGCACCTGGTGCCCTCACCCCATTAAAATATGCTCTCAGCCCTAACCGGTTTGGCTCAGTGGATAGAGCATCGGCCTGTGGACTGAAAGGCTCCAGGTTCGATTCCGGTCAAGGGCATGTACCTTGGTTGCGCGCACATCCCCAGTAGGAGGTGTGCAGGAAGCAGCTGATCGATGTTTCTCTCTCATCGATGTTTCTAACTCTCTATCCCTCTTCCTTCCTCTCTGTAAAAAATCAATAAAATAGATTTTTTAAAAAATATGCTCTCAGATCCTTTATGCAAATTGCCTAACACAAAATAAGTGCTCAGTATACATTTTCATTTTCCTTTCTTTCCCATAGTCAAATGACTGATGAAAATGTTCTCTTATTTCTTCTAGTGTTTTTATTTTCATATATACCAAATTCTAGAATCAAATGAGCCAAACAAGGAGGAGGAACTTTTTTGATTGTGTACTTCACTTACGTATGTCTTTCAAATGAGTTAAAACTTCATCAGCACTCCATGAGGCTAGGCACTCTACAAAGATGGAGTATATCATTTTCCCAACAACCCTATGAGGCATTAGTCTATTTGGGCTGCCTCATCATAGACTGGGTGGCTTAAACAACAAACATGTGTTTCTCACAGTTCTGGAGGCTGAGAAGTTCAAGATCAAGGTACGGATAGATGCAGTGTCTGGTGAGGGCCGCTCCCTGGCTCACAGGCTGCTGTCATGATGGAAAGAGAAAGAGAGCTCCCTGGGGGCATCTTTTATAAGGGCTCTAATGCCACTCACGAGGGCTCTACTCTTATGACCTAATTATCTCCCAAAAGACCCATCTTCAAATAATATTATATAGGGTTTAGATTTCAACATATGAATTTGGAGAAGACACATTCAGTCTGTAGAATTTTCAACCAACATTATTTTCATTTGATAGGCAAAGGAAAGTGGGGCTTTTAGAGTTTAAGAACTCTCCTAAGATCACATAGCTAGTAAGCAATGGAGCCAGAGCATCTGCTCCTAGGCTGTGCCGTAGGCCTGTGCCATGTCCTGGGTGGGCCCTCATTGTGAGTGAAAGGACTACTCCAGCTGATCGCTCTCAACATATTCATTCTCTCAGGGACCTTGAGGCTGGTTATGGATCCCCCACATAAGACTGGTGTGGTGGGCAGAATAATGACCCCCCAAAAATGCCCCTGCCCTAATATCTGGAACTTATGAATATGTTCCCTCAGATAGCAAAAGTGACTTTGCAGACATGTTTAATCCATTTCTTGGGTAATCTTGGTGTGCCCAATCTAATCACATGAGACCTTAAAAATGGAAGTGGAAGGCAGATGGGTCTGAGAGATGAGACACAAGAAAAATGAAGAGAAATGTGAAGTGGGACAAAGATTCAACCCGCTGCTGCTGGCTTTGAAGATGAGGAAGGAAATGGAGACCTCAGTTCCACACAAGGGCCTCAATTCTGCCAACAACCCAAAATGAACAGCAATAAGAAAAAAATATATATTCACCTGAGCCTTCAGTCCTGCTGCAGTCACCTTGATTTTAGCCCAGTGAGACTTGTGGCAAACAACTGACAGAGAGTGTCTTAACTGTAAGATAAGTTTGCCTTATTTTAAGCACCAAGCTTGTGGTAATTTGTTGCAGCAGCAAAATATAACCAGTCAGTTCCTTTATTCAAGTTGCTTTTTAAATTCCTCTGATGTCTAGTCACAAAGGGAAGTGCACAAAATTGTCTCACTCTGGTCTTTTTCTTACATGGAAAATAAGCAAAAATGCTTGTCATCCTGCAGGCTATGGGGCAAATCTGGACTAACTGGTCTTGAACATATAGAAACAACCTGTAAGAGACGTATGCTCTATTTGTCTCCTGTACAGATGCTGTTAAAGAAATGAAAAGTTGAAATGAAGGGCATGTTCATACCTGGTGGAAATCTCTAGATTTATGTGCATTAGCAATGGCATATGATATTGAATTTCAGAATAAAAATACTTTGCTAAACAAAAGGATAACCCAGGTTATTTTATTTTCTATTGTGAGCAGTAATTTTCTAAAATCTAACTTCCTGTTTGATAAATGGAGACATAATAAAATGCTTTGTCCATATTTTCAGTTAAGAATAAGCCAAATAAAACAAAATGTAATTCAATGACGCAGGGTGATTTTCACATTTTCTTTCTTTTAATACTCTTTCTGAAATTATATTCAGCCTTTGCATTTTCCTTCGGTCACCTGTGTTTTCTCTTTTTCACTTCGATGATGTGTTGCTATCAGCCTCCTCTAGCAGAGGGAGGGGCAAGTGTCAACTGGGCTGTGCCCCCAGGGGCTGAGGGCCTCCTGATTGAGAAGGTTGGCTTCCTCATCGGTGCCAAGCTCCAATGATAACCAGGGTCTCCGCCAAATGTGGGGGGAGGCTGGTGGGGAGAGAAAGGTAATGAAGTGATCTTCTATCTAACATATGTGAGAGTTAGAACAAATGTGTGTTAATGACTTCAAGTAGTTGAGAAACTGTCTTAACCTGAAGAAACAGCTTGTGGAGAACTAAAGAGAGCTGATCACAGGTCTCTGGCAGAAATTTCTCCTCTGGCCCATGAAAGGTACCACAGTAATAGCATTTGCATCATCCCAAGTTGGTTTGACTTCCTTCTTAGGAATTGCCAAAGTCAACCTGCTTCAGGGCAGCCTTCCTCATGGCCTCCGCGACAGAGACCTGGTCCCTCTGGTTCCCAGGTCTAGCAGTGTCTGGCACATGGGATATACTCCATAAATATGAGTGAGTGAGTAGTCTGACACCTAAGTCAGAGTTCTTATCTCCTGCACATCTTTTCTCAGCTATGATGAGTCTAAGTTTTGTACTGATGGCTGGATGAAGAAGGAGTCCCACACTCCCTAACCTGACTGCAAGTTCCTAAAGGCAAGAATTATGTAATGTTAGAATTTAACTGTGTGTGTGTATTTTTCTTGTTATTTAACAAACACATTTTTTTAGCAGGCATTCTTCAAAAAACTTTTACAAAATAGGTAATTCAATCATGACAACCCTGTGAAATAGGTACTGTTATCCCTGTTTTACAGAAGAGGAACAGAGGCTCAGAGACCTTAAGTCACTTGCCTAAAGTCACAGAGCTAAATGGTGCAGCTGGGATTTCAGCCACACGGGCTGGTTCCAAACACAGTGCTCCATATATGTACCTTACTATGCTGCCAGTGTTAGGGGAAATGATGGAGGAAAGAAAAAAATTTAGGATCTCAGGAGAAAACTGAAAAGAGAAGAATACTTGTAAATAGATATCCAAATGAATAGTATATTTCCAAATACTTCATGCATAGTTAATACAGTACAAATGTTGACACTGTATGAAATAAAAATTTAGGCTGATTTGAATACCTAACTTAAAAGGTGCTGCTCCTTTACACCTGAAATAATATTAAATATAACCTGTAATTGAAAAAAAGAAAAAAGCCCTGGCCAGTGTGGCTCCGTTGGTTGGAATGTCATCCCATACACCAAAAGACTGTAAGTTCGATTCCAGATCGGGGCACATACCTGGGTTGCGGGTTCAATGCCCAGTTGGGGCATGTACAGAAGGCAATATTTCTCTCTCTCCCTCTCCCTTCCTCTCTAAGAACATATTATTGGGTGAGGGTTAAAATAAAAATAAATAAAAGGATTTTGCTCCTTTGTTTAAAAAATAAATAAAACCTTGTCAAGTTATAAGCACTTTCTTCCACCTACAAAAACATAAATTACATAAGTAAATAAAACCATCAAATTGTGAATCATTTGAAGTAATCAAAATCATGACCCTGACTTCCAGATAAGTGAGTATTTTCTATACTCACTTAGTAGAAAATTAAACTCACAACTGGTTAAAAAGTTCAAAATTCTGCCCTGGCTGGGTGGCTCAGTTGGTTGGAGCGTCGTCCCATAAACCAAAAGGTTTTGGGTTTGATCCCTGGTAGGGGTGTGTAGGAAGGCAACCGATTTATGCTTCTCTCCCATATGGATGTTTCTCTCTCTCTCCCTTCCTCTCTCTAAAACCAATAAAAACATATCCTTGTGTGAAGATTTTTTAAAAAGTTCAAAGTTCAGTTATTCTGATAGGCATTTTAATTATTTTCTAGGGTTGCTGTACCGAAGTACCACATAGTAGGTAGCTTTTTTTTTTTTAAACATATTTTATTGATTTTTTACAGAGAGGAAGAGAGAGGGATAGAGAGTTAGAAACATCGATGAGAGAGAAACATCGACCAGCTGCCTCCTGCACACCTCCTACTGGGGATGTGCCCGCAACTAAGGTACATGCCCTTGATCGGAATCGAACCTGGGACCTTTGAGTCCGCAGGCCGACGCTCTATCCACTGAGCCAAACCGGCCAGGGCCATAGTAGGTAGCTTTAATAACAGAAATGTATGGTATCACATTTGGGGAGGCCAGAAGTCCAAGATCAAGGTGTCAGCAGTGTGGGTTTCATTGGGAGCTGTGAGGGAAGAATCTGTTCCAGGCCTCTCTCCTTGGCTTGTAAGTGTCTAGCTTCTACCTGTGTGCCTTCAGAACATCTTCCCTCTATGTGTGTCTGCCTCTATGTCCAATTTCCCCTTTTTATAAGGACATCAGTCACACTGAATTAGAGCCCGCCCTAATGCCCTCATTTTAACTTGATTTCCTATCAAAGGACCCTATCTCCAAATAGTCACACTCTGAAGTACTGGGGATTAGGACTCCAACATACCTTTTTTGAGGGGGGGGGCATGATTCAATCATAACAGCAGTATAAATAGGGGTAAGGACCCAGGTCTGAATTCTAGCTCTGACATTTATGAATTCTGAGACCTCAGTTCCTCATTTTCCCCCTTAAATGAGGATAAAACAGATAGTACCTGCCTCATGTAGTTGTGGGGATCAAATGAATTAGTACAGTGGGGCCTTGACTTACGAGTGTCCCGACTAACGAGTTTTTTGAGATACCAGCTGTCTCTCGGCTGATTTTATGCATTGAGTTGATAGAGTAATTTGAGTTAACGAGCTCCTTAACGAGCTCGGTCTCAGAACGTAAGTCAAGGCCCCACTGTACATGTAACACTTAAAATACTGAGTAGTACAATATATATTATATATTCATTCATTTAACAAATGAATATCTATTAAGTGCTGGTCATTGTTCTAGGTGTTTGAGATTCCGAAGCAAACAAAATAGGCAACAATTCCTACCTTCATGGAGCTCATAAACTAGTGGGGAAAGAAAAACAATTTAAAAAGTAGAACATATCAAATGTCAGCCAGTAGAAAAACAACCGAGAGTGTTTGTAACTTGGGATCACAGACCTGTCATTTGAACAGAGACCTGAAGAATGGGAGGAGACAGTTAAGTGGTGATCTGGAGCTTTTCAGATATGAGGTTTCCCCACCTCAGTACCATGACATTTGATGAATAATTCTTTTAGGGGGGGGGCTGTCCTGTGTATTGTTTAGCATCCCTGGCCACTACCCAGATGCTAGTAGTGGGTACCATCTATTACCCCAGTTGTGAACATCTGTCTGGCATACAAAGATGTCTCCAGACATTGCCACATGTCCGGCGGAGTGCAAAATCACTCTTGGCTGAGAAGCACTGAGCTAGAAATAAAGTGAAAGTGGGGGAGGGGGGCAGGGGGAGGGGCTCAGAGGCACAGCAGGGAGGCAGGCAGTAGGAGATGGAATGAAACACATCACCTATGACCTTGAGGCCACTCCTTAGGCAGATGGGAAGCCACTGGAGGGTTGAGACCAAAAAGATAACACAACTTGACCCACATTTTTAAAAGATCCAATTGGCTGCCACATTGAGAACTGACCATGTGAAGAGACAGAAATGGACAGCTCAGGAGGGAGGCTGTCACAATAATCCCATTACTTTTTTCATTTGGTTTAATTTGTTCACTCATGTGGCTGGACGGTGGTGGGAGTGCTGAGAGACTTGAGCTAAGCAGCTCTGGGGAAGAAAAGAGGAAGGAGAGTTAGCAAAAGAGTTAGGCGTGGGCAAGATGTTTTGCGGAAGTGGAAGGCAGTAGGGTGACTCAGTCCACTTGAAAGAGCAGCGGGCTGTGCAGAACAGGGAAGGCTGGGGACCAGTTTGTGTGCAGGGCCGGAGGGTGTAAGCGAAGGAATCGGCGCTCTAGTCTGTGATGCCTGGGGAGCAGGGAGGAAACCTCGCAGCAGTGGGCAGATCCTAGGAGTCAGAAAGAACACTTTCCAAAGGAGTCTCCTGAAATAATAGGGGTGACGGATAACAAGAGCCGAGGTTTAGGTGGAGCGCTGGAGCAAGACATTCCTAAGGAAGCAAAACAAGGTCCTGCCCCATTACCTTCTTGCCCTTTTGCTTGCAGTCTATTGTCTCCGCTGAGGGGTCCGGGAAATTTTCCACGATTTCAAACGTCAAGCCAAGGCAGGTCCGCCACGAAAAGGTTTAAGAAGTGCAGTACTTTCTCGGGAAACGTGTCCCCAGAGGAGGGTGTGTTACATTTCTTCTAGGGTCTTTTCAAAAACACTATTATCCGTAGGTGAGAAAAACTATGGCAACGAAGAAAAAAAGCGGGTCTTGCAATCAGAGTTCTGCAGGATGGGCCTAAGCCTTCCCCTGCTCAAAGCTTACGTGTATCAGCCGGGTCAGC